TTTAAGAAGACAGACACACACACACACACACACACACACACACACACACACACACACACACACATATATTAGTGTTGCACAATACAAGTAGTCCTCACCTTACAACAGTAGTTTAGTGATTGTTCAAAGTTACGACGGCACTGAAAAAAGTTATTTATGACCATTTTTCACAGTTATGACCTTTGCAGCATCCCATGATCATGCGATCAAAATTCAAATGCTTGGCAACTGGTTCATATTTATGACCGTTGCTGTGTCCCAAGGTCATGTGACCCCCTTTTGCAACCTCCTGACAAGCAAATAAATGGAAAAGCCAGATTCACTTAACAACCAAGTTACTTACCTATCAACTGCAGTGATTCACTTAACAATTGAGGCAGGAAAGGTCATTAAATGGGACAAAACTAACTTAACAAATGTCTCACTTAACAACAGAAATGTTGGACTAATTATAGTCATAAGTCAAGGACTACCTGTACTGCTGAGTTTCATACATTACACATCCTAAGCAAGGGTTTTAGAGACATGTTGAGTTATGGTCGGCTAACGGTAGTACAAAGAAAAAAATTATGAGTGAAATCTTGTACTACACAATGCCAAAATCAAAGAAACTGCATTAAGATTTAACACTGAAATAAGCAATTCTGGTATTTCATGATTGTTTGGTCAACCCCGGTTTCCTATTGTAGCACCAATTAGAATATTAAAATGAAAGGGAGTGGACAAGTCAGTCTTATCTCTCCGGCCAATATTTTGCACATTATCTTATCGTTCTCATGTGTCCCTTTATATCTGTATCCTTAACAATTATCTCTCTCTAGCTGTCTTAGAACTGTGGAAGAGATAAAACAACACCCAGCAATAAACCTCTGGTTGATTGTGTTCATTTCATGCATACACAATGCAAGCTGTTCGATCTGCAAGAGCTACTCAGCACCTGCTGTATAACTGTTTTATCTGAACTAGGTAGATTGCAGGAATAAAACTCCATTTAGAATAGAAGTTTAAAGTCGACTGGATGACCTTTATAAATCTCATTCAACATGAAAAATGATTGCAATTCATACATAACCATATTTCCAAACAGAATTGATGCTAAACCTTCACGTAGATTGTAGAACAATATATAATATGTATGCATGATAATATATCTTTCTTAATCCAGATAGGCAAATATAAAACTACCTGCAATGTTGTGCAGTATATTATATATGCACATGGATATTACGTAACCTAACAAACTAGCTGCAAACATTGCCCACAAGCTATATCAGACATATAATCTAATCAATGTTCTCATTTTCTAAACCAGAAAGGATCATATGGGTAATGGTGCACCTATTGCAAAGAAGATGAAATAAATATTGCCAACATCCAACTTTTGTGTAAAAACTGATTTCTAGAAGCAGAAAAAATTATCTCAACTGCAAGTGACAAATATACCATAAACTCTGACAAAATTAAATCTGCTATAAAAGTCCTTTTAAAATAAGGCTTATAATTTGTTCCTAGCTAGAACTGACAGCTGCTGCAAGTAGGAAGAGTAGAGGCAGTTGAAGAAAAGGTGGGGAAGGAGAGTTGAAGGTGTCCTACATCATGGTTTACCTTATCTCGACCAAACTGGGTGCACTAATTAACATGGAATCCCTGCCTGTGTTGATTTTTATAAAGCCAGTCATGGTATACTGATATAATTATGCATTGGTTGAGAGTTTGGGAGTTCTTGCCAGCTAGAGAGATGAAATGTAGACAATTTGTGAGGAAAGGGGAGAAAAAACTGTCCGACAGTAGCCTTTAGACTCTCCGAACTCCTGCATGCCCTTCAGTGACATACATCAGCCTTACCTTCCCCAACCTGGTGGTCTCCCTTTGTTAAGAAATCTCCCGTTATTCCTAGTTGGCCAAGATGACGGGAGTTGTAGTCTATTGTAGTCTAACAATGTTGGAGAATGTAGGGAATGCAGGTCTGTAAATATAGGTAGTCCTCGACTTACGACCACAATTGAGCCCAGAATTTAGGTTGCTAAGTGAGAAATTTATTAAGTGAATTTTGCTCCATTTTACGAGTTTTCTTGCCACATTTGTTACCTGAATCATTGCAGTTGTTAAATTATGATTGTTAAACATGATTGTTAAGTGAATCTGGCTTCCCCATTGATTTTGCTTGTCAGAAGGTCACAAAAGACTTTGCTTGTCAGAAGGTTGCAGCCCAGGACACTCACAACCATCATAAATATGAACCAATTTTCAAGAATCAAATTGTAAATCACCTGACCATGGGGATGCTGCAATGGTCATAAATGTGAAAAATTAGTCATAAGTCACTTTTTCAGTGCTGTTTAACTTCAAATGGTCACTAAACAAACTGTTGTAAGTCAAGTACTACCTGTATTGATTTCTTGCGATTTTGCAGAAAAGAAAACAATCTTTCAATCCCTTCTGTTTTTCTTTCAGGTCCCTGGGAGCTCCTATCTCGAGAAGACAGGGCACAATCCGATCTGATTCCGAAGGTTGCACCGCACTTTTTCCTTAACACGCAGCATGTTTTAATTGCTGCGATGCAAAAGCTCACTAGCTCGGTGAGTGAGATGGGCGGTATCTAAATTTGACAAATAAATAATAAATAATAATAAAGGCTATCTAAAGGACTCCCCTCCCCCTTGCTTTTGGAAAAGAGCGCGTCTGAAGAACTGGGACCCCGAACGCAGCACCCGCGTAAGCCGTGTAGCCTGGGGTGCCTTCCTTTCCCGAGCCGCGTAACTCCCTTCCCAAGTGACGTTGCCCGAATGGGGGCTGCTCGCTGACCGGCCCACCTGGAGGCCAAAGGCGGCGGCGCAGCGACGGCTGGCACGAGGGAGATAAAAGGGCGTCGCGGGGCTTTGCTGGGCACGAGCTTCTCACCCCGGGGAGAATCGTCCTCCTCCTGCCGCTGCCGCCGCCGCTCCTGGTCTGCACCCATTTGACACCGAGACGGGTATTCGCCTTTCTGCAACGCCTCCATCCCGTTAAGCAGACTAAAGTCATGTTACACTGGGGATACGAGGAAGACAACGGTGAGGAGGAGAGCTAGTGGCTCTCTGGGGGAAATAGATGTAGGGGGTGGGCTGTCGGGAGACTGTGCCCGAGGGCCAGGACAGGAGAGGCTCTGCTGAAGATCACCACCACCACCACCACCACCTTTCTGCTCCTCACATGCCCACTTCTTTCCTTCTGTTGGATGGGAGAAGGTAGAAGGGCTTCCCTTCCTAGGCCGTTGCGCCTTCGAGCAACTTCCACTAGACGTGCGACCTCTCTCTTCCATTTCGCGTGTTTCCTCGGGAGAACGCCTGTTTTCCAATGGGACGGGGTTTACTTCCCAAAAAGTACCAATGGAATTTATTACAACCGCGAAATGAACATTTCTTTCTTTCTTTCTTTCTTTCTTTCTTTCTTTCTTTCTTTCTTTCTTTCTTTCTTTCTCTTTTCTCCTTTCCTTCCTCCCTTTCTCTCTCTCTCTCTCTCCCCCCTCTCTCTTCCTCTCTTTCTTTCTCCCTCCCTCCCTCCGTTATTCCTTTGGCAGCCAAATCTCTAAA